CTTGGCCAGCACTGCCGTGGCCCTTGGATCCACCACTCCATTCGAACTGCTCACGCCGCTCATGTTGACTTTTGTTACAAATCTTACAGATGGGGGTGCTTCTGGGTATTTAGGCCCACATTCTATTTTAAGGCTGTATATTCGGTTTTCATAAATTGTCTGGAAAAAAGGGTACAGAGATGTCAGTTACAAAGAGCTAGGAGAAGTACAACTTGAGACCCTGTTGCCCTGGAACTACAGCGTGATGGTGTGCCTGGGGACAGGTGGACAGGTGGAGAGCACAAGGCCTGCACCGGCCTCCGAGAAGTGAGTGAAGGACAGAACAACGAAGCTCGTGCTGCTCGGGTGTAAGTGTCACCACGTCCAACCCTCTGCTCTGTTGTAGTCATGGTGACCCGAGAAGTAGCCACCAGCATCGAGTGAGTGAAGGCGGCCATAGAGCTGACACAGCCCACCAGGGACAACATCGATCTGAAGTGTCCCGAGAGTTCAAGCAAGGTTCTATGTAACTACACGGTGACTCTGAGGCCCATCTAGACTACGTGTGTCCCTGTCTCAAATAAACAAAAATGCCAACTGTAGGGCTGAGGGCTGGTCATGCCAGCCTGTCAAGGCGGAAAGACGGAAAAGAGTACAGACGGTGTCTGCGGGTCTCTACGCACCCAGTTAGAAAGCCAGTCACGCCTGCAGGAGAAGGCAGGCCAGCCCAACTCCACACCAGCACCACTGGCTGCAATGCTCAGCAGTAAAGCATGGCTGTGCCGGGCCCCATCCTGCACGGACATCCACTCCGACTGGACCCCCCACAGCTCTAAGACCTGCCTCAACCAGCATGTATCCCTACTCTGTGCCCCACCCTTGAGTTGTTCCTGGCAAACAGTGACACCTACTGGTCTCCGTGTCTTTTTAAAACCACTGGACACGTGTTTAAGAAGCCAGGTTCTTCAGGTCACTACTCATCATGCACCTATGCAAACCATTCTCCTGATAAGCTGACTAAGCCAGCGCTCAAACATGGTCTCCCCCCTCCCTCCTCCCTCCCCCGGAGCACTGCCATCCATCACCTATCCAGCATGGTCAACCAAAACCCAGCTGCAGGGTCTGGGTGGAGGAGTGCCCTCACAGCTCCCGGTTCACATCGCTGAGGCCCCCAAGCCTGCAGGGTTACCCCTCAACTCTCAGCTCAGGCTCCGTCAAGACCCATAAGCCCCAGGGGCATCCAGGAGAGGCCAAGGCAAGACTGCCAGAAGTGCAGAGTTCCAGCCAGGTAAGAGCCATAGTGAGGCCCTGCCTCAGAAACAAACAAACAGAAAAAAGACCAACAGTAAATGAAGGAGGGGGGAACCTCAGAGCAGGTCACAGCAGAAGACTGCAGCTCAGTTCCAGCACCCACATGGCAGCTCAAAACTGCCTCTAACTCCAGTTCCAGGGGACCTGAGGCCCTCGGTGGACACCAGACATGCACAGAGTCCATAAACACACATGCAGGCTAAGCACCTACACACGTAAGACTGGCCCTCTCAAAAAGCCAGCAGCTGCTATGTGGCTTGCTTACTTGTACAGGGTGTTGGGTTCCATCCCCACCACAGCAGAAAACCCCAAACCAACACAACTACGTGCTTCACTAACGCGGTGACGGGGTTTCCTCTGCAGACATACCTACATCTGTGAAGCGGGGATTCTTAACAAGGCACCTAGCCAGGTGTGGTGGCATCTGCTTGTGACTCTGCCATTCAGAAGGCGGGAACAGCAGGCACGAGGAAGACCTGCCTGGGCTACATAGCGAGGCAGCCCCAAAACAAAACAAAAAGTGTTTTGGAGGGTTGGGTATAGTAGCTTATACCAGTCACCCCCACACTTGGGAGGTTGAGGCAGGGTCTCACTGTAGCCAGGCTGGCCTCGAACTTGACTCTTCTGCACCAACACCGAGTGCTGGATTGCAGTGTGTTCCTTTTACTATGTGGCATAAAATGATTTTATACACAGCTTTTGCGCAGTATGTTGGAAAACAAAAACAAAAACAAAACCCAGAGGAGGAAAAAACAACCTACCAATCCACAGTGAATTTAGCAGAACTTCAGGTCACACATCGTATACCTTTACATTTACAAAGTTGGGCACATGGATTCCTGCTTGTAACCTCAGCACTCAGGAGGCAGAGGCAGGGGGATTGTTGTGAACGACAGTGAAACCATGCCTTAAAAAAATACAAATAAATGATTAAAAAAAAAACTAGTGAAGATAAATGGGCAATCTGGGCCAGGCGGTCCAGGCCTGTGACTGAGGTACTGTCTCAGAATCAAGTAAGAGGGCTGGGCTGTAGCTCAGCTAAACAGCACCTCCCTGGCATGCAGGGGGCCCTAACATCAGTCCCCAGCACTAAAATAAATAAGCAAAAAGAGCTGAGTCCCTCAGGGGTTCTATTTAGATACTCTGCCAAGGGCCAGTGAGCTGATCCAGCAGGTAAAGATGCCTGACATCTGAGCCCAATCCCTGGGACCCACAGAGTAGGAAAACGCTTCAGAGGGGCCTCTGACGGCCACATGCACACTGTAATGCACGCAATGCAGGTGTGTACACACATATATAGCTAAATAAATTTTATTATATGTGTACATAAAGTTGTGCACGTGTGTGCAGTGTCCAGAGACCAGAGAGGCCTGAGGTGAAACTGCAGGAGCCTGAAGCAGCATAGAAGCCAGGATGGAATCCTGGTCCTCCATAGTAGCAAGCACTCTAGCTTCTGAGCCCTTCTCTCCAGCCCCATGAATAACTAAATACAAAATAAATAAAATAAAATAAAAAGTTGCTTGTACACACTTTGGATCTTAGCACTTAGAAGGCAGAGGCAGACACATCTCTGTCAGTCTGAGCTGACAGTGAGTTCCAGGCTAGCAGTGACTGAGATCAGAGATCCTATCTTAGATTTTTTGAGACAGGGTTTCCCTGTGTAGCCTGGCTGTCCTAGAACTTGCCCTATAGACCAGGCTAGCCTCGAACTCACAGCTCCACCTGCTTCAGCCTCCTGAGTGCTGGAATTTTAAAAGTGTGGGCTGGGGGAGCTAGAGAGATGGTTCAGAGGTTAAGAGCACTGACTGTTCTTCCAGAGGTCATGAGTTCAATTCCCAGCAACCACATGGTGGCTCACAACCATCTGTAATGAGATCTGGCACCCTCTTCTAATGAGATCTGGCACCCTCTTCTGGCCTGCAGGTATACATGCAGACAGAATACTGTATACATAATAAATAAATAAATCTTTAAAAACAAAACAAAACAGGGCTGGAGAGATGGCTCAGAGGTTAAGAGTACCAACTGCTCTTCCAGAGGTCCTGAGTTCAATTCCCAGCAACCACAGGGCAGCTCACAACCATCTATAATGGGATCTGGTGCCCTCTTCTGGCATGCAGAAATACATGAAGGCAGAGCACCCATACATTAAAACAAAAGAAGCAATACACCCCAGCCAGGCAGTGATGGCGGGCATGCCTGGTATACTCCTGGCACTGGAAAGGCAGAGGCAGTCGCATCTCTGAGTTTGAGGCTAGCCTGGTCTACAGAGTAAGGTCCAGGACAATCAGGGCTACACAGAAACCCTGTCTCGAACAAAACATAAAAAAACATAAAAAAATAAATAAAAAAATAAAAAAACAAACAAACCAAAAAAAAACTACAACCCAAACCACAGGAGACAAGGAAGGAGAGTCACTAAGAGCCGGACAGGCTGGGCAGCAGCCGCCTCCTCTGGCAATGGCAGTCCTAGGCATACCCCCGAAGAAGTGCAAACAGTACTCCACACACACCGCCATCAGTGTCCGCCCCACCACTACAAGGGCACACCCAGGATGGCGCTCCTGCCGACAGTGCAAAGGCATGGAGTACCGCAGGTGCTACGGTACCATGAGTTCCTACATGGTCTTTAATAAAGCCCCAGCCAGACACTGCGGTAAAAGCCGGAAGATCAGAGAGACAAAGGAACAAGCCACTGCCACATCTTACCTCTAGGAGTCCTCAGCCTAAAAAAGCTTCAGTTCCTGTCTTCTCACGCCTTATATATCTTTCTCCACCCAGCTGGGATTAATGGCGTGTGTGCTTCCCAAGTCCTGGGATTTTTTTTTTTTTTTAAAGATTTATTTATTTATTATGTATACAGAGGAGGGCGCCAGATCTGATTATGGATGGTTGTGAGCCACCATGTGGTTGCTGGGAATTGAACTCAGGACCTCTGGAAGAGCAGTCAATGCTCTTAACCTCTGAGCCATCTCTCCAGCCCCCAACAAGTCTTGGGATTAAAGGCGTGTGCCACCACTGCCTGGCTCTGTTTCTCTCCTAGACTGAGTCAATCTCATGTAGTCCAGGGTGGCTTTGAACTCACAGAGATCCAGATGGATCTCTGCCTCTCGAGTACTAGGATTAAAGGTGTGTACACCACCACTGCCTGGCCTCTATGTTTACTCTAGTGGCTTGTCCTATTCTCTGATCTTCAGGCAAAATTTATAGGGTACACAATCTATCACCACATGCTATAGGGCTTTGCCAGAAACAGATGCCTTGGAATCAGCAGCATCACATGCCTGCAGCTCAGAGTGGGAGGGGGAAGAAGTCACCACCAACAGTTCTTTTTTTTTTTTGATTGAGGGGAAGGTTTTTATTGTAGAGGCATCTGGGAGTGTGCAGAGCAGGGAGAGAAAGTAGGTACACTCAACATGGCCTGTAGAGTGAACTGGGCAGTGAGAAGGGAGAGAGACCAGGAGAGCGAGAAAGGAAAAGAAGAGACAACCAAGGGGGGGGAGGGGGCCGAGAACACAGAGCTGAAATGGCAGGATTATATAGGAATGAGGAGCTGGGGGAAGGGAAGCCTATGAGCTGTAGCAGTTCCCAACAGTTCTTTAGAATGATGAAAATGATACGATGTGAAGTGACAGATTCTGGGGTGGCCCTGTTAACTGGATGCCATTCATTCATTCATTCATTCATTCATTCATTCATTCACTCACTCACTCACTCACTCGTGTGTGTGTGTGTGTGTGTGTGTGTGTGTGTGTGTGTGTGTGTGTACGTACACATTGAACTCTGGTTGCTTTATCCACTGAGCTACCCTGGATGTTGAACATCATTGCAGACTGGGGCCCCAGACCATAGGAAGAGGATGCTTGCTGAGCACCAGCTCTCCACGCTCTCTTCCTGACCGTGGATGCAGTGTGACCAGCAGGCTTCTTTTGCCAGGTATTGTATCAGAGCGCTGAGAAAAGTCCAATAATAAGAACTTGCAATTATACACGTTATGAGCACACTCTAAAACAAGCATGGGGACATCCACGTACTCTCAGTATACCAGAAAGAGCAATAACTCTTGAGTCTGAGGCCAGCCTGTACTACATCAAACTGTACCTTAAAACCAAGGATTGGGGCCCAGAGAGATGGCTTTGTTGTTAAGAGCCCACACTGTTCTTACAGAGGACCTACTTGGTTCCCAGCACCCCCCTACTGGCAGATCACAGCCTCCTGTAAGTCCAGCTCCAGGGGAATCCAACACCTCTTGCTTCCTTGGAAATCTGCAGATACATGCACATACCTACACCAAACACGCATAATTAAAATAAGAAAGCCCAACAGATATAGGCCAGTGGTAGAGACCTGCTTGCTTTGTGCAAAGCTCTAGGACCAGCATTTGGGAGGCTGGGGCAGGAAGATGCCAAGTTTAAGGCCAGCCTCATCTGCAAAGAAAGATCCTGTTCTAGTTTTGAAATGGGGTCTGGATAGGTAGCCCAGGCTAGCCTCCAACTAATAATGATCCTCCTGCCTCAACCTCCCAAGAGTTGAGATTATAGGTCTGAGCCACCACCCGGCTCAAGACCTTGTCTTAATTAAAAGATGTGCAGGCATGTCTGGGGTGTGGCTCAGTGGCATGCTGCAGGGTTTGCCAAGCAAGACTCTGTGAGGTCCTAAGGTAGCTCTGTAATACCGGCTGCACTGCAAGTGCACACATTAGCTCGTGGAAAGTCCCCAGTGCTTTAGCAGCTCTTTCAGCTCTCCACCCCTTCAGGAAAGAGTAAACTCAAGTTCAGGACAATCCAAGCAGTTTTTGTTCGTTAGGGACGGGGTCTTGGTATGTAGCCCCAACTGCCTCAAGCTTGCAGCACTGACGCCTTCCCTTTAGTTCCCTGCATTTAGGCAGCACAGTGCCGTCAGTGTCACTTATGGGCTGTTTGAGATTTGTCTGTGCAGCAGCAGCTCAGAGCTGCACATGCTCTGCTCTCAGGCTGCTGATCCTGGGAAGCAGGAAAGTGGTTCACAGCCCCACAGCTGCCTGACCCCGAGCCATGTGCGGGCACTCTGGGGAGAAGGAAGGACTCTAGAGGCTGAATCCTCTTAGCAAAGAAGGATCTGTAGAGCCATCTAGCTGTGCATCCCCAGGACTCCAGTCAGTAAGCTGCTTCTCAGGGAGAAGGGAAAGGGCACAACCGGACGGCGCACGCACACACACACACTAACTCTGTACCAGCCAGCGTCAGCACTGCGAAAACGACTCAGGAAGACACAGTAAAGCGCATGGCTGGTCGTTCCCCGGCAGCGTCAACAACCCTCGAAGATGAACTTCAAGTATGCGAAAGCTCCTGAGCCTGAGGCAGGTGTCAGTTCCCAGTGCCCACAACTGGAGTCCTCCTATCTCCAAAGTGCACAGGCACTGCCTTGCTCAAGCTGAAAAGGAAGGAAGCTGTCACCCTTAGGCACACACAAACACACTGGACAGGTCTAGCCACATTCAGGCCACACCTCCCAGGGCTCATCTGCTGGAGTGTCCCACTCTAGGGTCTTTCTTTCTCCCAATTCTCTCCTGCATCAAGTAGGAAACGTCTACCACCCCAGTGCTGACCAATGAAAACTCAGCTTCTCAAGTGGGCAGGGAGGAGTGAAGCCTTGACAGACCGACCCAGGCTGGAAGGTGCCAGCTCTGCGTGCGACTGGGCAGGTGACCTCACTCCCGGGTCGGCTTCCCCACCTGTGACCTGGAATGTGGTCACGTAGGAGGACCTGACAACAACCTGTGTGCACTAAACACACTTCTGGAGGGCTAACCATGTATCCTCAAACACAGCTGGCCAGGAACTCACAAACCAGAACTCTCACTGGCCCTGGTTTTTTAAAATACCTCTGAACCCAGCAGAGCTGGCAGTGACGAGCAGTACACAAAGGCACAGTACAGCTGGGCAGTGGTGGCCGCCGCCTTAGGAGTGTTGCAGGCAGTCCAGGTGCTCAGAGCGTGTTCTAAACGTCAGCTCGGGGCACAGCAGGCTCAAAGGCCAGTGTCTACACTGTCATGGAAATTCACACTACTGACTACACAGGATTCATTTACCCAAGATGGAGAGACATCACCAGAGGGGCTCAGATGTCTAAACTGAAACTGGCCAGCCACATTTCAGAAAACACCGTTGGTGAGCGTTTGCCAACAAGGCTACCATTTATGGTGATATTTTATTTGTACTGAAATGTGATTTTATTTGTATGTTAATAAAGTTGCCTGGGGGTCAGAGCTAATAGCAAGCCATAGCAGAAGCTGGGCGGTGGTGGTGCACACCTTTAATTCCAGCACTTGGGAGGCAGAGCTAGGCAGATCTCTGTGTGTTCAAGAATACAGCCAGCATGGAGACACATGCCTTTAATCTCAATATCAACCATAGAAGACCTGGAGGTCTGTATAGATGGGCAGTGACGAGGAGGTCATGTGGTTGGGTTTACAACCAATGAGAAGGCAGAATAGAAAGTCAATAAAAAGGACAGACAGGGTGTAGGTCTCTTGCTGAGAGGAAAGACAGCAGCGGCAGTGAAGGGTAAGGTTTCTAGCTCTTAGCTACTGCTCTGACCTCTTAGGCTTTCATCTCTGCATTGGCTCTGTGTTTCCTATTTAACAAGACGGTTCATCCACAACCACTGATTCAAAAGGAGGCACGGTGAACTTAAGACAAGACAGTTACAGCCACAGCTTGGTGCTTACTCTTGGAGGCCCAATTATCATCCCTGTCCATCTTGTAAGTGTCATGTCTTCGTCGTCCTCTAGACCCCAGCTAACTGTGCCGTCGCCTACTCCTTTCTGGCCTTCTTCCAGCTCTTCCAACAGTCGGAAATTTCGAGGGACTTTTACTCCTAAAACAAATGGAAAGAAATTCAAGATGCTAGCAAGTCCAGGGGGGTTGTAAGCCTAGAGCAGGCTGCTCAGTGTCGCTGTCTGAACACAAGGGCAGCATGCATGAGGTGCCCACAGCGGTCTCCCTGCAGCCCACACTGAGCTCTGGGGAGCCGGAGCTCAGCCACCCCAGCCCTTCCATACACCCGACCCCAACTCCCGGTCTGGATGCTCCTTCCTTCGGCTGTGAGAGCTGGCTGAGAGGAATGCCAAGTGCAAACTGCAGCCTGAGACACAGCACTTCCTTTTACCGGGTCCTGGTATGGCACATTTTGGAGACGCGCCTGGCTGGGATGACTGGTGGCCTTAGAGGAAAAAGCATTGTATCCCATGAAATGCTGTCCCTACACATGGCTGTCAGCAGAGGTGCCAAGGGCAGGCTCTCAAGGCTCTTCCATTCCAGAAGTCATGGCTCCTCTCCTCATTTGTGAAAAATGCTACGAGAGGCAGCTGGTTCTGACTTACATTGCCAGGTTTAGATACCTAAGCAGGGCCTGAGGCTGGAGGCACCTCAGGTCAAGCAAGGTGTCTTGCATAGAGCTCAGGCTTGGGGGTACAAATGCCAGCAGTGGCAGCTGACAGCTCACTCCTAGACTCCCCTGCAACTTTCCCTGTGGGTGGGGGGGGACAACTCAGGACCTACACAAGCCACAGGCTCTCTTTGAACCCAGAGCCCCACTTGCCAGACTCCAGCACTCACTGTGTAGCACAGTGAGGAAAGGATCCCAGGAGACTGGAAGAGCTCCTGGGGTGTCCTGGGCTTCCTGATGTGCAGGGCACAGGCCAGCGCTAGCTCACCTGCCCCGTCATGGCAGCCATGCCACAGGCGCTGGGCGACAGAGAGGCAGAGAGCAGTGTCTGTGTTCCTGGAGCACACCACCCTAGGGAGGTGTGGGACAGATACAATGAGTGAACTGTATACAGATGGGGGAGACGGATCTCAGCTGAAGGGTGGCTGAAGGGACAGCATGCCCAAAGTCCCCAGGTCTGACATTTCTTGGGGTCAAGGAGCAGAGGAAACAGGGAAGCCAGGGCAGCAGGAAAGGGCTCTGACAGTGCAGCCCCTGGGGAACACGAAGGCCACTGGAGCTCTCAGAGTGACCGGAGTCCTTCTCCCAACCCAGACAGACCCCAAGTGCTATGAGGGGGATGCTGAAAAGGACCAGTGGCCATGTGGGGAAGAGCAACGGTCCAGCAGACAGGATTTTTGTCAAGTGGCCTGTGGTGTGAGAGAAAGAGAGGTGAACTCTAGTACCCAGAGGTGTGGTGTGAGCATCTGGGGCAGCCGTGCTCACGGGGCCGGGATGGAGTGCTTCATCCTCCAGGCCACAATTACTAGGAGTGACTTACTGGGTTAGGAGCGTACAGGGCCCAGCAGTTGAAAGGCCCTGGGTTCCATTCTCACTACCACCACCAAAAAGAGTGACTTCTTTACTGCTGGGGCGCAGCGCACGTGCCTAGCAGGCACTTGCCTGCTTCTATTTCCAGCACACAGAACTTATTTAGGGCAAACAACATTATCCTAATTCCCATTTACAAACAGTAACAGTGAAGTTCCTTTTTAAAAAATTGTGTTTGAAGCTGGGGATGGTGGAGCACACCTTTAATTCCAGCACTCAGGAGGCAGAGGCAGGTGTCCTCTGGGTTTAATGTCAACTTGGTCTACAGAGTGAGTTCCAGGACAGCCAAGGCTACATAGAGAAACCCTGTCTAAAGGAATAATAATTGTGCACATGTGTATATGTACATGCATGTACCTCAGGAGCTGTCCCCTGATGCTCACTAATAGACTACAATGGCTAGTCAGCGAACCCCAGGGATCCTGTCCTACCTCCAAACACTGAGATCACAGACCATGCCTGGCTGGCGGGCTTTCTACTTGAGTGTTTAAGCTCAAAACCGGGTCCTCAGTCTTACAAGGCAGTATCACCTGTCCCACCCCCAGGGACAAGTGTGCAACAAAAGAGCCATTTGACTGAAAACACTAAATAATAGCACATGTGGTCTTGGGGTGTGTGTGTGTGTGCAGCAAAAGCCTAACAGCATACTTGACTCACTGGCTTGGGAAACGCTAGCATGTGTCACCCTCAGGAGAGCCAGCTGCACTGTCTGGCTGGTGACGTCCTACAGCAAACATGAAGCGAAGAGATTTAGACATCAGAGGCAAAACGAAAACACCACAATTATTTTGCTTCGAGTTAAATAAAAAGGAGGGGGAGGATTGGGAGATAGCTCATTGGCAAGAGCACTTGTTCTGCAAGCATGAAGACCTGAGTTCAAACCCCCAACACCCATGTAGAAATCAGGGCATGGGTGAACATACCTATGTGCCTATGACCCCACCACTGGGGTGGAGTCAGGAGAGCTGCTGATTGCAAGACTGTCTCACAACAGTTAAGCAAACACTAACTAGTCTCTGCTCTGGCTCCTGTACCGTGTGCATGGGTGTGCATGCCTGCATATGTGTTTGCACCCCTCCAGAGTTAAATCTAACTACTACTATTATTAGAGAAAGGGTCTTCATATGTAGCCTAGGCTGGCCTCAAACTCAAGAGATCTGCCTGCCTGTTTCCCAAGTGCTAGGATTAAAGGCATGTACCACCACATTTGGCTACTCTGAATTTCTTTATTAGATCCATGTATATGTATGTCAGAGGGCAGCCTGCACGAGCTGGTTCTCAGGGGTCAAACCCAGTCTGTCAGTGTCTTAAGTGCCAAGCCATCTTCATAGCCCTTAATCTCTTTTAAAAAAATCACATATATAGCTGAGTGGTGGTGGTGGTGGTGGTGGTGGTGGTGGTGGTGGTGGTGGTGCACACCTTTAATCCCAGCACTCATGGGAGGCAGAAGCAGATGGATCTCTGAGTTCAAGGCCAGCCTGGTCCACAGATTGAGCTCCAGGGTATCCAAGGCTCCAGAGAGAAACCCTGTCTCAGGGGAAAAAAAAAAAAAAAAAAAAAAAAGAACAACACACATAAAGTGTGTCTATGCATGTGAGTGTGGTGTCCACACAGGCCAGAAGAGAGATCCCCTGGAGCTGGAGTTATAGGCGGTTGTGAGCCTCTAAATCCAGCACTGGACCAAACTCATGTCTTCTGCAAGAGCAGTATATACTCTTAGGCCCAGACCTAAATTTAAATGTTTAATAACGATACAAACTTGGCTGTGAAGCAAATGACTGCACATCACTCCTGGCTGTCACCTAAGTCCACAACAGCAGGGACAAATGACCACAGAGCACCAGTCACACCTCTAGACAGCCACCCCCCATCTGAGGGGCTTCAGTGTCTGCCTAGTGGGCACGAGGCCCTGGGTTTCAACCCTATCACAGCCAAGGTAAGAGTCACAGACTGACTCCTGCTCCTCCCGAACTCAGAAGGAGGCAGCTTGGGACTCGAAACCAACCTACAGACTCCCTAAGACATCATTAGGATACAGAAAGACCCTAGGGACACACCAGCAGGAATCAACTTACAAGCAAAAGGGAGGGGCCTGCCAGGCGGTGGTGGCACACACCTTTAATCCCAGGACTCGGGAGGCAGAGGCAGGTGGATCTCTGTGAATTCCAGGCCAGCCTGGGCTGGAGTTCGAGGAAAGGTACCAAAGCAACACAGAGAAAGAAACCCTATCTCGGAAAAAAAAAAAACAATAAAAGGGGAGGGGCTTCAGAAGACATCAGAGGGCTTGATTCTGGACTTCCTGTCTCTAGAGAGAGAAATAAAATCTGTCTGGGTATTGTGTTATAGCAGTTCAGATGGTGGGCGATAACTCGGGAAGGAAACAGACGGAGATGTCAGCAGAGGCATCTCTGTATACAAGGACTGTTCTGGCCTTACAGTCCACACCGACATTATCTTCCTGCCTCAGCCTCCTCAGCTGAACTATGGTGTGTGTGAGCGCTCCTGTGTGCCCAGGGCACTCCTGGCAGGGTTCCACCACCTGGCCTTTGCACTTTCTAGTCTCTGAGGACTTCTTCAGACAGTGCTAAGACAGCCTCCTTCACCTTCTCTGGGGACTCAGTTCTAAGACACTTGAGCGCAGTAATCTGCTATTTTCTTCTGTCAGGCGGGGGAACCAGCGAGCTGGCTCAGCATGCAAAGGTGTTTGCCACCAAGCCTGACTATCTGAGCCTATCCCTGGAAGGCATGTGGTAGAAGGAGGGAAATGACTCCCACAAGGTATCCTCTGACCTCCACACTCATGCCCACAAACATGTACCACAAGTACACCACCAGCCCTTGGTATCCCTCTCTGCCTCACCTCATACCATTGAGTCCAAAGTATCCAAGCAAGTCTTTTTCTTTTCTTTTGAGACAGTCTCCTATAACCCAGGCTGATCTCAAACTCAACAAATAGCCAAGGACGACTTTAAATTTTTGATCCTCCAGCCTCAGCTACTAGAGTAAGCGGATGACAGGCCCACACCACTATTCCTGGCTAGCATGTTACTTTCCAATTTGTCCCCCACCCTTTGTTTTTTTTTTTCCTTTGGTGACAGGGTTGCTCTGTGTAGCCCTGGCCATCCTAGAACTCACTATGTAGACCAGGCTGGCATTGAACTCACAACGATCTGCCTGCCTCTGCTGGGATTAACAACGTGTGCCATCATGCCCAATTACAACTCATTTATTTTCTGAACAAATTTTTTGTTTGTTTGTTTTTTGAGACAGGGTTTCTCCGTGTAGTTTTGGTGCCTTTCCTGGATCTCACTCTGTAGACCAGGCTGGCGTGGAACTCACAGAGATCTGCCTGCCTCTGCCTCCCGAATGCTGGAATTAAAGGCGTGCATCATCACCACCACCACCACCCAGCTAAACAAGTTTTAATTCACAGTAAAATCTTGATTAAAAGAAAAGTTTTGGGGGAATAGTAACAGCTGGCTAAAAGTCAGGAGTTAGGGCCACGGGACAGCTCATTCTGTCTCTCTAAAGATACATTGAACTCCTGTCTCACCATGTGC